TTTATATATATATGATTTTTCTTATGGGTTTAGATACACTCTAAATCAGGGGTGGGCAACTCCTGCCCTCCAGCTGTGCTTCAACTACAAATCCCAACATGTCTCTGCCTCTGGGAGTCATGCCTTTAACTGTCAGTCTTGCAATGCCTCATGGGACTTGTAGTTCCACAACAACTGGAGGTCCACAGTTGCCCACCCCTGCTCTGAATAAAGGAGGACTATACGGAGAGAGGGCTACCACGGCTGACCTCTTCTGAAAATGTTCCTTGCCTGGCTGACAAGCTGATCCAGTAGTGACTGAGGTGGGACAGATATGCAGATCGGGACTTCTGAGGTAACCTGCTGCATTATTGTTCCAGGTCAGCGGCTCTCAGAACTGAAGTCAGTGACAGCCATGCAACTAGAATTTTTTTGGGGGGTTCTTCCAGTACGGGGTGACCCTTTCCTATAACAGTGGAAAGTACAAGCGTGGATGCCGTGCAGGAACACTGAGGTGGGTGCATGTACCATTGCTCGGCGTCTCCAGCACTGACTTGCACTCATATGCAAATCTTGACATTCTGGGGACAGCCAAGGGTCGGCCCTCCTCTTCCCATCTTCTACTGTCCCCTATTGCAGTGGTTCTAAACCTGTGTAACCTCCAGACCCACATTAGTCTTTGGTCATTAAGTCGCAACCCAAGTCGTACTGCAATGGAATGCACGGCATTAGGGTACTATGCATTCCGGTGCGGGCGTACGAACTGTGGGCGGGGGGTACGTTTGGGGTACCATTCAAATGAATGACATCACAACAGACCTCCCACACCAGAATGCACGGTAGGTGTGATTGTGTGGTACAGTGCAATAATCGCACTAGGCACTTAACGCACTGTACTTGTGTGAACGGGCCCTCAAAAACACTGACAGACACACACAATCTCGCACACTCACAGACATTCTCACACACACACATACACCGTCCAAAAATGTTTAATTTTTTAAAACATTTTTTTAAGGTCCGCCCATTCTCCCTACCTTACGAAAACTGGTACGGACCCTCAGCCTGGGGTCCAGTGTGGGCTGCTGTGGTGTGATGGAGCTCCATCCATATGTGCATTGCTTGTACACCTACCCTGCGGGAGCCGGAATGTGATGTCAATCAGGTCCAGGCACTGCTGTAGGACACGTGAGGAAGCTGTAAGCAATGCATTTATGGATGGAGCTTCCTCGCGACCATATCCCCATCCCACCTCAAGCTGACACTCGGCACTGGGCACTATATTTTGAATGGCTGCTTGGTGCAAGAAGTGAAAGTGCTGCACTATGGGGAGGCAGAGGAGCCCCTCACCTAGAAAAGTGGAATACACGCGGCGACCCACTGAACACGGGGTCGCAACCCACTTTTGGGTCACGACCCACCAGTTGAGAACTAAGGCCCTATTGGTGAATAGAGGCCGCCCATCACTTGAACAACCAATAGGGAATTGCAGCTTGTGGATTGATGCCGGGCAGCTCTGGACTGTCTCGGCATATGTTAAGCTGCAGGTCAGTGTTCGAGGCATGGAGGTTGGCAGGGTGCTCGGGTCGCCGGGCACATGCAGACACTTAAAGCGCAACGCTGTATGATTTAAAAACAAAGAAGTGCTCAGAGCAATGAAAAAAAAACATTTTCTCCTTTTTCCTAGTTTGTAAAAACCGGGGTGTACACTGCCTCCGGCACAATGCAGCGCGCACCCCGCAGTCTGTAAGATGTTGGAAATGCAGCCAGCGGCAGTGTAATTGCTGCAACAGAAGCATCCACCCAATGAGAGGAGATGAGCAATGGGGGACCTCGAGGATGCGATGCAGGAAATGGCAGCACCGGCGGACAGAACGGAAAGGGAGGAAGGTGAATATAGTCCGACTCACAGTGCATATGTTGCATTTAATGCACTTTGATACAATTATTTACTGTATCCGATCACGTTCCTATAGATGTAAAAAATACATCGCCGGGCCTGACCGGGAAATGTCGCCGGGCCTGACCAGGAAATGTCGCCGGGCCTGACCAGGAAATGTCTCCGGGCCTGACCGGGAAATGTCGCCGGGCCTGACCGGGAAATGTCTCCGGGCCTGACCGGGAAATGACGCCGGGCCTGACCGGGAAATGTCGCTGGGCCTGACCAGGAAATGTCGCCGGGCCTGACCGGGAAATGACGCCGGGCCTG